TGATGATGTGCGGTTTAGAAATGGTTCCCATAGAAGTTAATAGCTTGTAATCCATACCTGAACCAGAACACTCTGCTCAGAAATTGGACAGGACTTTTATTCATTTCGCACTGAATCCGCACTGCCAGAGCACCGGACATACAGTTTGTGAACAGGCACCTTAGGAAGCAATGTTATTTCACATGTCATGTGGCTTGGATGCAGTTCAAACCGCATCCAATCCGCATATATGAGAAATGGCACTGAAGGATCTGCAAAAAGTTTCCACACTTCTATACATACAGTATATATAGATATATGGTAAAAAAAAAAATGCGGAAACTTTTTGAAGTACCCTCGTACTTAAAGCATTACTTAACCCAAAAAGCAAACATTTATTATATTGCAGCTTACCAATTCTTAGATGTGTTGGCTGCATTCATTTTCTTTTTAGGCTCTTCTTTTGTTCATCTGGTTATTCAGTCAGTAAGTCTGTTGTTTTTCAAAAGAGCAAGCTCTTTTCTATATTGTTTACAAGGATCAAACAAACCATTTAACACTGGCAGATGTTCTGCATCTGTAAAATCCAACCAGAGCGTCAAACAAGAGTCCAAGGTAATTTGGTAATGAGATTGAAGCATAGCAAACACACTCCCCTTCATCAGTGCTATGAAACGAGTACAAATACAAAGGTCATAAATCTACAGGTAAAAAGTCATGAATATATGAAATGTAATAATAGCAGTAAATGGGAAAAAGCTGCTTTGGTGTTTTTGGTCAATCCATGTATGTAATCTGCTTTGCAAATATTTAGAGAACCAATATAATTACTTAGGAACAGAAGCACAAAGGCAACCAATACATTTAGTCTTTTTTTTTTTGTTCAACCAGCGGGGTGAAAAAAAAAAATGACCCAATTCCCCCATCTATACACTCGAGGTGGATAAGGGAATCACTCCCACTGAGCTATTGTGTTCTGATGGTGCAGAGACTTCCCTCTGTCAGAATAAACTGATTATCGCTGCTGGCTATAGCCAGCAGAGCCGATCGTGCAGAGATTTTCCAACAAGCTGGTTGTACAGAAGTCGATAGGTAGATTAACTTCTGTAAAACCAGTCCGCCCATACATGGATCGAAGTTTTTCCCTGCTATGGAAGCTGAATTTCGATCCATGTTTGGTTAGCTTACGTTTTAATTTGTTTAAATCAGCCTTTTATACCCCATTATTGTTATTTATTGTATACATTTTATACAAAGTTCTAATCTAGAGACTATAAAACCGGTTTTCATTTTAAAACCACTCCAGGACTCAAGTGATTAACAATTTATATAGAAAACAGACTGCTCCTTTTAGGGGTGTGCTCCCAGGGAGTTTTAAAACCAGTGGGGGCTAAAAACATTTTAGTTGGACTTCAATAAATACCTGCGCTTAGTTGTTTAGTAGTTTACAAGAACCAACTTTTGTTCTGAGATTTTGCTGTCTAACAGAAGTGCTCCTAGAAGCTGTGAATATTCCCCTTAGCCACTTGCTCTCCAGAGGATTTACCCCCCTTCCTGACCAGGCCAGGAAATTTATGTCCTTTTTTCCCACGTATAGAGGTTTCTTTTGGTGGTGTTTGATCGTCTGTGCATTTTATATTTTTTGCACTATAAAAAAAAAAAAAAAAGACTGACAATTTTGAGAAAAAAAAACTATATTTTTTACTTTTTGCTTTTAAACATGTCAAGTAAAAAAGTTTTTTAAAAATCTAATTTTTTCATAAATTTAGGCCAAAGTGCATTCTGCTACGTCTTTGGTAGAACAAATCACAATACGTGTACATTAATTGGTTTATGTGAAAGTTATAGCATTTACAATCGTCGGTATATATACTGGGGTGGGTTAATTTTTACTAGTAATGGCGGTGATCAGCGACTTATTGCAGGACTGCGGCAGGCATTCTGACACTGGGGGAGAACTGACTTGGTGTCACTGACATCACCAGTGACACCAATACAGTGAAAAGTGCTAAAAAAAAGCACTGAAACTGTACTTATGGCACTGGGCAGGAAGGGTTTAACATATGGGCAATCAAAGGGGTTAACTGTGTGCTGTTTTACTGTAAGCTGTGTGTGTGTACTTCACTGTAAGCACACTGCTTTGTATGGCTTCGCTATGCTGAGCCATACAAAGCAGTTTGGAGGAGCTGACAGGGGAGAGAACTGTATTGTCTACATACAGTTCTCTCCCCCCGTCGGTAATTCTCGGCAATCTCTGGGTGCTGGAGAGTATTCAGCGTATATATACATGATTTTGCACACCCCTGCCACCCTATAGCAGTATATCTGCTATAGGGCAGCAGGAAAGCGGTTAAAGTGGTTGTAAATGCAAATAGTAAAAAAAATTACTTTTTGCCATAAATGAATACATTTTAATGTAAACATACATACAGCTGTGAGCATACCTCAGAAAAATGCTCCCTTAGCTTGTCTCAGCCCTCCAAAAACTGCTGGTCTGTGGGCGTGGCTTAGGACCAGAGAATAGTAGGCAGAGATGTGATGTCACACAATCCCTCAGTTATACACACCCTCCAGCCTCGACTCAAGAACATGCACAGCTATTTGACATCTCTATGCCTGAAAACATGTCTCCTGAGTGCATTCAGGGGAATACACAGGTGCCAGTGACTATATCAGCTCTGCTTACAGCACAGGATCTGTGCTAATCAGGAGAAAGCTGGTAGGAAGGGGTTAATGTTACAAAGGAATCCTGCAGCCTAAAGTGGCATTGTGGACCAGGAAACATTCTCATATAAAACGCTGTACACAGCAATTCACAAGCTATGTGCTGTGAAAAGAGCAGGACAATAATCAGCTGTCAGCAGACTTACCTAGATAACTATAGCATTACTGAAGTGATGCCGATCTATGTCATAAATCACTGGTGCTGAGTTCTCATCTTGTGAAGTCAGAGACCAGCAGGGAGAGGACACCTGCTTCCCCACCCCTTTGCAATGTATTACATGGAGGCTCATGCTGGTCTCATCTTCAGCACAGCCTGTCACTTACAGGAGAAGGGGAGTGGCGACACCCATTTTTCTGCTTGTGTCAGATTTATTCTGTTCAGAAGAGCAGGGGGGGTTTCTGGAGAAGGGGATTGCTTCAAGATACCAAATTAAGCTCAAATGCTTAGTAAAGGTAAAATCTATTTAACTGTAGGATTAGATTAATTTGTGTTTTTTTAGGTTTACAACCACTTTAAGGTACACATGCCTACGTTTTGATCTTGCACGCAAGATCAAACTTATTTTAGCAGGGTGACAATACTGTTGGTTCTGCAGTGAAATTACAGCAGCGTTGTCACTGTAATTCCATTTATGCAGTGATTTTTTTTTCTCTTTTTATTCTCATTGATGAGTGATTTAAAGGATAAGAAAAAATGTGGACACTGTAAGCACCCATGCCCATACCTGCATAAAAACTGATGGAAAACACATGCAGATTGACTTATATAGCCTTGTTCACACCATGTGCAGAGAAGTGCGTGTTTATTATGTGTCTGCAAGGACACAAAAAAAAACCAGTTGTTCTCTATGAGTCCTGTTCACACCATAACACTGGTATCATGCGCAGAGATATGTATCATATGTTCTTGGCAAGGGCACAAAAACCAATTGTTCTCTATGTGTCTTGTTCACACCATAATCAGCACATGATAGTGTTGTGGTAATATAGAAAACAGTTGTTTTCATTGTGTCCTTGCAGAAACAGGTGCAGAAAAACTCGCATGGTGTCAAGGAGGTCTTATAGTTTTCCCCAACACCTGTAACTGTCACTTTTTCTGGGCAGCTTGGTTTACAGGTATAGATGAAGGAAAATATAAAAGTCATGTGAAAACATTGAATTTATATGCTGAATAATACTGTCATTGGAAGTATTAACTACACGATTGGCAGAATAACACATTATTCACAATAAAGGGTCTTTAAGAAACCAGTTAAATTGAGTGATTTTATGAGTCTTAATAAACTGGTTGCATAAGTAAAATGCGTGCACATACAAAGGCTTTTTGGTACTCTAAAGAAGCTTAAAAAAACTGACTGTTATTGGTGAACTTGAGTGCTGGTCTTTCCATGCATGTGCCCCATTATTGGCCTATCCCTCTGATGGGTGTGGGAGACACAGAAGCCACAGCTCAGCTTGACCAGGAAATGTTTGCATATTTGAGAACTCTGGGTTTTAAGGCTTCTGGTATACTCATGAATGTATATGAATACACCTCTAGAGACCTCTGTTTTTTTATGCAGTCCATTTTTGTGATGTTAGAAACCTGTTGGTTTACTTTAAAGCTTTTTTTTTTTTTACAAATAACTGATCACTCTTGTCGGAATCTGTTTAAATGTTGCATATTTATTAATATAAGTCTGATCCTCTTTAATATTTTTCTGTGTTTTTTTTTGTAGATATATGTTGGGTAAAGCGGGAAAGCGAAAGTTTGACGAGCATGAAGATGGGCTGGAAAGCAAAGTGGTGTCACCGACAGATGGGCCTTCGAAGGTATCCTACACCTTACAGCGCCAGACTATCTTCAACATTTCCCTTATGAAACTCTACAATCACAGGCCCTTGACAGAGCCAAGCTTGCAGAAAACAGTTTTAATTAATAACATGTTGAGACGGATACAGGAGGAGCTGAAACAAGAAGGCAGCCTGAGGCCTGTGTTTATTAGCACTTCACAGTCATCAGACCCTCTTTGTGACACGTATCAAGAGGCACAGCCTGCTTTCAGCCATCTTGCCTCCCAGCCTACCCTACAACCCACTGACTTAATAAACACTACACCACTAGAGTCTTGCCTCACCCCAGCTTCTCTGCTTGAGGAGGACACATTTTGCACTTCCAAACAGTCCAGCAGAATAGTCCTAGCAGCAAGCTCCCACCCCCTTCACCGCTGCCTCCTGTCCAGCCAGTAAAAGACAGTTTCTCCTCAGCCTTGGACGAAATTGAGGAGCTTTGTCCCACATCTACCTCCACAGAGGCAATGGCGGAAGCAGACCTAAAAGATGGAACTGTCACAGCAGGATCTCTTAAGTCTGAGGGAACACAAGAGAACAGAACAAATGAGCCAAAATTAATGGATTCCCTTCCCGGGAATTTTGAATTAACAACCTCCACCGGCTTTCTTACAGACCTGACCTTAGATGACATCCTTTTTTCTGACATCGACACGTCCATGTATGATTTTGACCCTTGCACATCAAATGCTGGAGCAGCCTCTAAGATGGCACCAGATGAACTCCTCAAAACATTGTCTCCTTATAGCAGCCAACCGGTAACCCCAAATCAGCCTTTTAAGATGGACCTTACAGAACTAGACCATATTATGGAGGTTTTGGTTGGATCCTAAGAGAACATGTGATTGACTCTTTATAATCCTCATCCCTCCCCCACAGATTCACAGCACTGTGCATGCATACTCTTGCCTTTTTTGAAAAACAAAAAGGATCTTGTTTAAATATTGCATTACGCTGTATTGGAGTGCCTTCTGTATGACTGCTTTGGAGATACTTTATAAGTCGTTCTCCATGGCCAATCATACTACAGTCCACTGAAGATTTCATACAAACTACCGAGTGTCAACTTAGACGCCAGTTTGAGTTGTACGTGTATAAGCACAAGAATTGTGTTGGGGAACGCTGTAAATTGCATGTGCATAACTGTCTATTTTTTCAATAAGTTTTATTGCAAGAGGTAAATTTTATTACTTAAGTAATCGGAGCCCCATTTTCTTTTTTCTGTTTGGCATTTTAGCCCATTTTAGGTTGGGAGAAAAAAAAAAATCGGAGGCATTAATTACTGCCTTTCCAGTAAGAATTGCGTATAAATGGCTGCTTAGGTCCCCTTGCCCAAATGTTTTTATATTTTTGTACAGATTCTCTCGTTTATTATATTGATTTTCTATAAAAAGAAAAAAAAAAAAAAAAAAAAAATTTGCTGGAACAAGTGTTTCACGCGACAAAGTAATATTTGTTAGAATTTGCATATAAAGTTCCTTGCTAATTAAGATGTACAATAATAGCCCAAACTTTTCAGTCCATGTAGGTATTTGGCCACTAAGCTGTATTTTGAGGCAAGGGGGTGAGGGTGAGGGTTATTTCCCTCTTTAGTTGCAACAAATGTTTGTCATGGAGAAGGGGAACAGATTATTTAATGCCCAAAATTTGTTTTGCTCTCTGCAAAAAAAAGTGTTATTTATTTAGTCACCTGGGTATTTATGCTCAACTCTCTGAATTATCATCCCTAGCTTTACAGGTCTATGGGTGTTAACTGTATTTGTTTCATGATGCCATTAAAGTGTACTGGTCACCAAGTCACAGCACAGGTACACAGATAAGGAAAATTATACATTTTCAGAACACAATCTGTCAGTAGATAATGTCCCTCTTGAAGCTGAGATCCATTAATGGTGTCTGTGGTTTCACCTAGACTGTGTTTTAATACATGGTTTACTGTATATATGCAGGCCAGTCCCACCCAAAACTATAATTTCAGGTTTGAAAGACTGGAAAGTTTTTTTCTTAAACTAGGAAATGGACAGTATAGTCTCCCTTACCTTTACTAGACCATATGGCAGTCCAGTGTAGACAATTGGGAAACACCTGATAATGACAAATGAGACTAAAAACTCTTAGCAAAATAGAGTTCCTATAACCAATAAAACTTCTACTGCTTTTTAATGGGGTGTTAGTACAGACAAATTAAAAGTATCCCAGATGTACAGTGTCTATACTATACTTTCCAGAGCATTGATTTTGGCTGTGTTGAAGAAGTACTCTGTTTTCCAAGAATACTAGCATCCCAGTTGTCTGTCAAAAGAGCACCAGGAGGGAGGGTGCACCCTTTAAGGGTTTAACCATTTGGGTCTAGGCCTCTTATTTATATTTGGTAAAAGTAGTTATTTATAACTGTGTGTTTTCCCTGCCTATTTTTAAGTTGTATATGAATACCTCCCAGCTACCTCGTGAATACCAATGATTGTTCACATTGTACACCCTCACCTACCATTATCTTCACACTTTATTTCCTTTGAAAACCTAACGTATGTCTTAATGCCTACAAACAGCTGGCATTATATAACACTTACCTGACCTCCTCCACTTGGACAACATACTAAGCCAAGGCAGTGGCCACTACCTTTTTCTACCCCCTTAACTGGGTACATATGCAATTTTTGTACCACGGATTTGTTTTAAGATGAGAAATTTGTCTTCTATCCTCACACTAGAAAAGCCTTTATAAATTTAAAAATAGAACAAAATGGGTATACGCGATCAATTTTATTATTGTTTTTTAAATTACTGATCTGACACTTGTCCCCTCAATCCTATACATAGGAAAATGTTGAACTTTCATGAAAACTGGAGCACAGAAAAGACGAAATGCATGCTTCGTGTTAGATGCTTGCTTTCATGATCTAAATGGCACTAGAAATGCCAGTTATGATCTAATTGGTTACTTGGCTAAATGGGCATTTGTGCTGTGTACCAGCTTTTATTAAGGTCAGTTAGTGTTTCTTAAAGGTTATTTCCAACAAAAACTGATATGCCCCTTTTTGGGTTGTCAGCTGAATCAGCCACTGGGTCTTGGAGACTTTGGTTGAGAGATTTCCAACCCATAGATCCAGTCTCCACCCCTCTCTCATGTTGTCACATTAGTTTTACATTCTGAAAATGCAAGTGTGATACTCTTGCCTAACATCTTGTTAAGGCAGGGAAACACAGGTTGGAACTCTAGCAGGGACATCTTGCAATCAAGATTCCCCAAGAGATAAGAGATGAGAAGGTGGAATGTGATTCGGGGTCAACCCAAAATTAAAACATCACCTTTAAGTGGAAAATGGCTTTTAAGATGTATTGGCCTCCCATGCATAATGAAAGCAGCCAGTGTGAACCAATATTTGGTCTACCATTTCACTAGGAACTACAGTAAATAAAACACCTATGGGGCCTGATAAGAATGAGAGCCATCAACACTGCCTCATTGTTAAAGCCATCTACTAAACCTGTCGGGCTTGGTTAGCCACTGGCCTCAAGATACTAGGATGTCACTAGTTCCTCAAGGGTTGAGACTGCATTATCTGAAATACTGCTTTTAATGGCTGTTTCTATAAATGCGTGTGAGACCAGTAAATGTTAAAATAACACACTTTAAATCTGTGTCCATATTTTGGGTGTTTGTGCCGCTTCTGTTTTTGTATTACCTACAGTATATTTTGTATTGTATATGGAAAGCCTCAGTTTCTGGCAGCAAGGTGAAAGCTGTAACAAAGAAATCTGTTTTTTTTTCCATGTCTGGTTTTTTTCCCAGTATGACATCATCAATTGGCATTTTTTTGCATCATTACTAGTTTTCTTTTGCTATCATGTACATTAAGAGACATTCACTCTTACCAATACTATGTATTCTGTGAAAGAAAAATATCCTTATTTATGCGCTTTTGTAATTTACCCCTTAATTTTAACTTAAAAGCAGTTTTGTAGCCATTCTTGTGCTATGTATCTGTTTGTTGAAGAGAACTTGTCAGATCAATTCAGCATGTTAAGCTAATAAAATGCCCTCCTTATGTTGCCTGCAAGTATCTATAGTAATCCTCTCATTGATTTCTCCATGTCTTTGACCCTGGGGTTTGGTGCATGCTATACACAGGACCATGACTAATTCCTGGTTTGGAGCTAGGCCATATATGATGCTTAACAACCCAGTGTGAGATCCTCTGCTGGTCACTGAGTCTGGAGCATGGATTGGACTGGTGGATAGCAGGAATGAGTTTGATCCTTGGAAGGAAAGATGTAGTTCCAGGTTGGGAAGATATTGTCTTGTGTATATCATGCATTTGTTATCCGAAATCCATGAGAGGCTTTTCAGATGTACTTACAGGTACCAAAAAAGGGTTTGTGTTTTGGTAGCAGTATTAGATTGGACACATTGAGGTAACTGAGGTGTTCACTTTTTATGACCAATGGACTAATTTATGAAAAGGTTATTCATGTAAAAAACAAGAAGAAATGGAAGTCAAAGTAGTTTCCTCTGCAGTCAATAAGATCTGACCTGTATTTTTTAATCTACTCTTTCTGGCTGATATTTGCAGGAACTCTGTTTTGGCCAACAGTCTGAATAGATCAAACCCACCAATCTCTAAGATGTGGTAAAAGCATCTTGTATACAGCCTGTCTTGGAAATTCGCTTTAACGAATTTCTCCTTACCGTGAGTACTCGCAGTTGGATGCGCAGAAATCCCCCATAAAGCTGTGTGAATCTCGCTTACCACGACTGCAGCTAAACTACACGATTCCTGCCCATCCAACTACTTTAGCTTCTGTTGAAATGTGGGTGTTTGGAGCTCCCTATACCTGGAAATGATCACACGACACCTTCAGGTTGATGGTTGAATTCACATAAGGGCAATTTTCATTCTCCCCTTTGGTTTTATTACAAATACACACACGCCCCCCCCCACATGAATAAGGTCAAACCCCTCCCACAGAACAATGCAATGGGGAGTGCCTATACACAGGATGTACATTCCGATTGGAGCATAGCCTTTTCTATTATCTGTCACTGGTCTTCCCCCATGAGCCTTCTGAGGTCAGCAGACTTCCTCCCCTTCCCATGAGCCCTCTGTGGAGAGCATATCTCCTCCCCTTCCCATGAGCTCTCTGTGGAGTGCATATTTTCCAGCTCCTAGCAGTATGTCCATTCTCCGTACAAGCATTCCCTAGAAATATCAGTCTGTACCTGGATGGGCCCGATATGATCTTTATTAAAACACATCCATCCAGATACAGTTCAGATTGGTAATGGGTTGTAAGATATGCATAAGCCTACATGTGGAGTTCACACCGCTTGGCGCCTTGCGTTATGAAGCCCATGTGGTACTATGCTGCTGATATGTGGATACAGGCCCGCGGTCTACTGACAGCGGCATTTGCATCGAATGCCGTGTTGGTATACACGCCGGTCTATAAGCGCAGATCTGCCATCTCATCCGTTACCGAGCTGAGTACTGTAATACATACATTGTACATGCGCATGGCCCAATTGCAGCCTTCAGAGCTTTAATTAAGCCACACGAGAGACATATGAATAACAAGAATATATGACACATTTAAAGTTCGACCAACAATACAAAATTTCCATGACAAGCCAAATAGCCAAACGAAATGAACAAACATTAGAAAACACAAAAGCCTTTATTTATTGATATGCCTATGACACCATTCGCCCTTCATTTGCCCATACTGGAAATAAAAAATTATATCAGGTTGCAATTCTTTTTCAGGCATATTGGTAGTGAAGGCTCAATATATGTTGTTCTGTGTTTGTGAGGAGATTAAATATAATTTTACC